TGATAAAAAATGGAAGGCAACATCAAGGGTGTGGATGTGGGTGTGAGTGTAGTTCAAGACAGCGCAGTCGAACACCCACACCCAAAAATTAGACTTCTTTTCATCATTCCTTAATCATAAAATAATACGATCTTCATGCTAAAATTTTTATTAGAACCAAAAGCTAATCAGAAAGCATTTCATGGCCGTTTTTAAATAACTTTTTATCGATAAAAGGTAGAAACTTGCAGCTATTGTTATAGATGTCCATCTAGGCAAGACATTAACAATAGGAATGACTGATTTCAAATCGGAATCAAAATCAATGATCCCATATTATAAAAATAAAATGAGGACTAACGATTCCAACATGATCCTAGAAATGAAAGACATGGTTTTAATCTGAAAATCGTCGCTCTTTAAGGTATCTAACCATATATCATCCACCGAAATGAATCATTTTTCAAAAAGTAATTCGTGATAAGTAGGTTTCCAGCTATGTATAGATAAAAGAATAGCATAACTTCGGAAAAAAACTCAAATAAATAATAAATTCAATTTTTATGTCATTTAAGATGAACGGATAAATTATAAACTATTTCCATGGTTGGCTGAACACCAACTCTACTCGATAAACGCCAGTGGGTGAATGATTCAGTATTTTAAAAGAAGCAACTTCTCAAAAAATTCTATGACACACCATCTGCGAATAAATCACGTATACCAGTTATCTAATACAAAACAAAAAACAGTATATTTAAACAAATAGACTCTCGCTAAAAATATTTGAAAACAGGATGTCCAAGAGGAGGTGGGGATCGGTCAAGGTTGGGCTGGGTGTGGGTGTGAGGTAAGGGGGAAAAAGCAGATTTTAACCCCTGAAATCTTTGAAAATCTTTATAAATCTATGGAAATCTTTGGAAATCTTTGGAAATCTTTAGAAATCTTTAGAAATCTTTAGAAATCTTTTAGAATTCTTTGGAACCTTAAAATGAGGCATGTTCTAACACCAATATAGTAGTGAATTGTCAGGAGTGGATGAAATTTGATATTGACCGGATTTCATATTATTGTACCAGTACTATTATATTCCTAATTTTTCCGTTAAACAAAGAATTTTTTCACTAAAGAAAGATTTTTTTTATCAAGGTTTATTAAAGAGTGTCGGATGCACGTAGTTCAAATACGCGGTTAGTTTTTGGAAAGTTCGAATTTGTTGCTTAATCAAGTAAACTAATTTCGTCTACGAATGATCAAAATTAGCCCAAAGCATAAGTTTTTCAAAAATCTCTTGTTTTAATCGAAATTGCAAGTATACAACTCTAAGAAACTAATTGCAGATTCAGATTCCTCAATCTGCATTACTTATAATCAAATTTCATAAAAATTCGCTATTTTCATGAAAGACTCTTCCTTTTGCGTGAAAATCAAGGACGTTACAATCACTATACCATTAATATCAATGCGCGTCGGTACCATCGTGGGTGAGCGCAATTGGTATTGAGAGATGCATACTTAAAATCTGTATAGATCGCTTCCGAAATATTTAATGCCATCGAATATCCTTAAAATAGTATATTT